CATTTTATGTATTTTCCTCCCTGTAAATGTGCACACGTGATGCTGTCCAGGCCTGTGCTGTGGAAGTCTGTGTGACTCCAGTGAGACTTGCATGTGGAATTCATTGTTGAAGTGGCTCCAAGTGTTGACGGTTTTCTCTGCTATCAGCATAGAAGGGCTCAGACACCTCCACTGATGCGCAGTGTGTGTTTCCTGCCTGGCTTTCTGTTTACACCCCGTAATCTAGACACAATCTGGTTCAGCTTGCCCAGGTTAGTCTGGATTTTGCATTTACTGACAGTGGTGGATGTGGTGGAAGAGGTTGACCCGGAGGCGCCTTCTCTGACTTCCTCCCTGAGCCGGGTCCCAGGCAGGCATCGTGCCCCTTGGTCTGCACTGTGCCCTTGCGTGCTGTCCTGTCCTCCGCAAGAGGTGACGCTGCCCTCGTACCCTCCTCAGTGTCTTTCTTTTCCTGGTTCTTGTCTCCCACAGCTCGCGCAGTTCTCCATCAGCCTCTCCAGCTCCCAGATTTGCTGCCTGTCCCTGAAGATCAAGCCTTTGTTCCCATGATGGAGAGGAGTCGTGTTTCTGAGCATAACTTCGGCGGTGACATCTCTTCCACTCCCATTTCCTGCGAGGTTCCCCAGTGGGCGAGGACACTCCTTTCTGCCTCTTGTCCCCTGAAGAGTAATTCTGTAGATCTGCAGGAGACAGTGGAGGTGGGTCTGAATGCATTTCAGAAATGTGTTCTCCCTCCCTCTAAGATAGAACTGTTATGGTTCGAAGTGCAAGAAAAGACCACTTAAGACCAAAACTGAGCCAAATTGTGAGTCTTTATTAGCTGGCCAGTGACTACCCTCTGCACCACCACAGACAGCTGCACAGAGAGCAGTCCCGAGCCAGGAGAGGCCAGCTCTTTTAAAGACAAAAACCACACATTGATAAATCATCTAATTGCTTGCATAAGCACAGTTACAGAAGCAAAAAAGCGTTAGTCTATTACCATGGTACAGTCTTATCTTGGGCTGACATGGTCTGGGAGGTTTTGGGAATTCTCCCCTTTCCTTAGATGAGTTCCATAGGAGTTACAAGTCACAGCTGCAACTTTACTTTGAAGCAAGTATAACAACATTAATCTTAGATAAAATACATTTGACATCTCATTATCCAAGCCAATCACCTTCCACACAGGAATCATTGCTGGGCCACTCAGAGCTCCGGGCGCTCCATCCCTCTGGCCCAGGCTACTATTTTATCTCGTGGACAGCTGTGTGAAAGGCACCGTTTTCTTCCTTACATTCTTAGGTGTCCTAACGAAGGCAAGATAGCAGGTTTGGGGTCAGTAAGGGTCAGCTGAAAACTTTCCACTCTCTTAAGCAAGCAAGCAAGCATAATACAGAAGCCAATGGCTGGTTATTTGCTGCTTATGGTCTCTAGGCCCTAACAGAACCACCTGTGAGGGCACAACTTCGGGATGTCTCTCCAATCCGGGAAAAAGAAACTTCAGGGAAAATTGAAATAGG